GAGTCTAGCGACATAGCCATTATGCTAACTGCTGGCCTCCCAGTCTTGGTACTTCTTGTCTCGTCTCTGGTCTTTGTGTTTTGCTATTGGACACGTGTGCTCACAGGAGAGACAGGGAGACAGAAAGCAAGAGATCACCCCCTGGGGGACGGCCCCACTGCAGTCCCTCCTCCACTTTCCTTTCAGGTATGCACACACATACAGCCAGTGTAAGTTTGAAGCTGCCGGGTCTAGGACTCGAACCATGGTCAGCCATGTGGGAGTCCAGCAACGTAACCATTACACCATCTGTTGGCCCCTGTTTCTGCCTTTGTTTTCTTTTCTTCTTTTTTTAAGAGAGAACTATTTATTTATGTAATTCCATTTGTTGTTGTTATTACTTTTTGAAATTTGACCAGGGAGAGAGAAAAAGGGAAAGTGAGAAAGCGAGCTGCCAGGTTGAAGCCTTGAACCGTGGTCAACCATGTGGTAGTTCAGCACCTTTAACCACCTCGCCACCTGCCAGCCCCAAGTTTCTGCTTTTCTTAATTAGTGAGACCTATAGTGGCTTGGACGGAGGTGTTGAATGAGTGGGACAGCCCCTCCCTTTGATGCCTGGCTGCGTGCAGACCTGCGTGGGTGCGGGGCCTCCCTCCACCCTCCCACGGCCCTCCATGTGCACAGGTGTTGCTCTGGCAGAAGGACCACGGTCTCCACCGGCTCCCACCTGGCTGGGCATCTGCTGCTCACAGCTTTTCACCCCTGAGCCCTGGTGGGAGCCCCCTCTTCTCTGGGGTGTCGTCGGAGTGTTGTGTGGTGCCAGGACTCCTGGGTCACAGGCCGAAGACCTTCCCCGCATGCCGTGTCACATTCCCACCTGACACTGGTGGGTAGCACAGGCCCAGCCCGCTCAGTCCACCCTGTGGAGAAGTTGGTCCTGAAAGTGGGGCCCTGTCTGGAAGGTTCTACTGCAGACTTCCCAGCCCAGGGAGGGCTGTCGTAGCCAGCCCATCCTCCAGGTCTCACCCCAGCTCCGGGAGGAGATGGGGAAACTGAGGCACAAGAGGTAAGGATGTGCCCAAGGACAGGTGGCCAGGCTGCTGAGTGCGGTGTCCCTGCGACGGGGCTGGTCCCCCCTGAGCACAGGCCTGCACTCGGGGTGCGGGGTGCCGTCGCCATTCCACACCTCCTTCGGAGCCACTGCAGGCTCACCGATTAAGGGAGGGGGTGCTGCAGGTGGCGTTGCTGGCTGGGGTGCTGGACGTCCACACGGCAGCTGTGGTTCGGGTCTTGGGCCTGCTGGTCTGCTTTTTCTCTCTCTGGTCAAAGTGAAGGACAAAAAAAAGCAGAAACACGACCAGAGGTACCAAAACTGCCTGGTGGCGCAGTACACATGGGGAAGCTGGCGGGGGGCAAAAAAAAAACGGCCCCGTGCCGGTGGCGGGGGCGGCCGCCGGCGTCTGCGGGTCCTGTGGGACACTGACGCTGGGCCTGTGGGCATCCGGACCACTTCCTCTGAGGTGGGTGTGCCATGCGTCCTTGCAATGAGCCAGTACAAGCCTGGTGTGTCTTGGACATTAAGATTGCTTGTCACGTGTGTGCGAGGGGCCCTGCCCGCGCTCAGACCTGCACACATAGGACACGCCCAGATCACTTGGGGGCTCTGTGGAGCTGCGTTCCATTCTCCAGACATGGCACCTTTTAAACGTCTCCTGAGACTCGGGGTGCCCCTCTGCGGGCCCGCAGGCACTGGTAGCATGTGCCCCCTGCGGCCCTGCCTGCAGCCGGTGCTCAGCGGGCCTTGAAGGCCGGCTGCTCCAGGGCCCACGCGGGCAGTTGTCTGACGCTGTGCTTGGTGTCCTTTCTCAGCAGAAGGACGGCACCTTTGCGGCTGGGGGCTACATGCCGCCTCTGCGGTTTAAGGTGCTCACCCTCGCGGTCGTCTTTGGGACCATGGTCGGCGGCATGATGATCCCCAGTGGTGAGTGAGCTCCAGCCTCGTCCCGTCCACCGTGGCCACAGGGCCCCACAGCTCGCCCCCTCCTGTTCTCGTCTGTCATTACGCACAGGGCACCGGGCTCACCCCTGTGGCCTCGTGCCATCCCCCCTGGTTTCCCGAGAAAGGCCTCGGAGTTCCGGCTGACTTTTGCTTCGACTGATGGGAAGGCAGGGATAAGCCGTGTCAGCCCGGTGGCGCAGTACATGCGGGGAAGCCGGCGGGTGACCCTGGGCAGACCTCGTTCTTTGTGCCGGCTCTGCCGACCCCCCACTTGCCGTTAGCGGGACCGTCGGGGGCCCCCGGCAGGTCTGTGTCAGTCCTAGTAGCTGTCCTCCAGCGGAGGCCCGGGCCAGCCCTGCCCAGCCGTACTCCTAGTGGCAGGCCGCTCCCCTGTGGAAACAGGCAGCCCCGTGGCCACTCACCAAGCAGCGGCAGGGGAGAGCCAGGCAGGCAGCCCTGGCCGGCTCTGTAAGGAGCGGGGCCCGGTGCGCGGTGCTGCGTCAGCGTGGCCCTCCCCACTCACCTGGGGCTTCTCACTCCCTGCAGTGGAGACCATCCTGGGCCTCACGGGCGCGACCATGGGAAGCCTCATCTGCTTCATCTGCCCGGCTCTGATCCACAGGAAGGTGCACAGGAGCGTCCTCTCCTCCCAGGTGAGGGCGGGCCGGCCGGGCCACCTCTGCCCCGCGCGGGTGGCAGAGCGGGCGGGGTGGTCCTTTCCGCGTGCTCGGGCTCTGTCTGTGGCACCAGTTCAGGTGCTGTTTGTGGCAAAGCAGGCCTGGGGATGCCGGGTTAGTGCCAGCGAGGGCCACTCTGTGCCCAGCCTGGGGACTTCCCAGAGAGCAAGTGACCTGCCCCTGGAGGGATTCTGTCGCCTCTAGATCACGCATGGGCACTAGGTCTTGCTGCACAGCGCTGTCACCCCCACTGCTCGCACCCTCTGCCGCGGCACAGCACCCAGCTCCGTGGGCACGGCCCTGCAGGCCGCCGAGTGTGCAGTGTCTCCGTGAGGATGGGACAGGCCTGTCTGCTGGAGTCGTGTCTGTGGCAGGCAGACTGATGACCCCTGGTGGGCATGGCCATGTGACGTAGCGGAGCTTGTGCCTGTAGGGAGTGTTCTAGAAATGGTTTCTCGGGGTCACAGGTGGAGCCCCTTCCCTGGTCCCTTTGATGCCTGCAGCTGGCTCCGGGCCTCCGCCCTCACACCTCGGACCCTGGCCCCCGCTCTCCTGGAACGGGCTCCTCTCCCCAACCTTGCTGCCGACTTGCTGTCTGGTACCCCTGAGCAGCCCCGCGTGCGCCCTGGCGTCTAGCCTGACTGCACTGCGCACCCCTCCCAGAACTGCTGTCGGGGCAGGGTCGGGGCAGGTATGGGACAAGCCGGCACCTGAGGCTTCCCTTAGTCATGCTCTGCCCCGAGGGCGCAGCGCCCCACAGCCCAGGTCCTGGGCCAGCCCCTCACTCCCGGCCTGTTGCCCGAGTGTCCTCTCGGAGCCCAGCTGTGTGGGCCCTGCCAGGCAGCCTCTGGCTTTCAGGGCGCCCCTCCAGCTGTGCTTGCGGGTCATGTGACCTGCATGTGCCGCCCCTTCTTCCGTGCGAGGTCGCAGCCCTTCCGACAGGTAGGGGTGTGGGCTCACCTGCTCCGGCGACCCCGCCTCCCCCCACGTCTGTCTCCGTGGGTCCATCGTGAACGCTTTTCAGGTTTTTTCTACGAGGTTCTTATTTTCGTACTGATTTGTGGATGTTTTTGGTAGATTCTAAACCTAAATCGCTTTTCAGAATTTTTCGTGGTTTTTCGCCTTCAGCTGCCTTTTCCCTTCATTTAGGACTTTTTTCGCCCAGTGGCAGAGAGAGGGGCAGGGAGAGCGCATTCGTCAGGGGCCCAGGCTGCCGCAGCCCTTCCTCCAGCTCTCCCTCACGTCAGGACTGGGACTTGAACCCCGGCCAGCTACGAGGAATCTTTCTCTTTTTTTTTTTTTTTAGAGAGGTTTTTTTGCTATAGGGCATGTGTGCTCACCAGAAAGCGCGAAATCACCCCCCAGGGGGGATGGCCACGCCACAATCCCTCCTCCTCCATTCTCCTCTCAGGATCTTGGGCACGCACGCACACATGCCCGGAGTGAGTTTAAGCCACCAGGTCCGGGACTCGAACCGCGGTCGACTAGATGGGAGTGCAGCAACACAGCCGTTACGCTAACTGCTGGCCCCAGAATCTTTCTCTGCACAGCACTTACCCTGCTGTGCTCTGGCTGACTTCGAGCTCGCTCTCTCGTGCAGCGTCTATCTTCCCGTCTCCCTGCGGTCGGCCCCGTGGCCAGCTCGCTCCGCGCGCTGTGTCTGTTCCGGCTGGCTTTCCAGCTTGTGGCTTCCGGGCTGGGGCTGGCTTAGTCCTGGCCGTTCCGTCCACTCGGCAGGAGTGTCGGGCTGTCTGCAGTTACGCACTCGCTGCCGTGCAGGGTCGGCGCTCGCAGCTTGCTCTCCCTGCCCCGTCTCAGCTGGTTTGTTTGCTCCTGTCTCTCTCTGGGCCAGTCCAGGGTCCCCTCCCAGCGGTCTCTGTCCGTGCCTTCGTGACAGGCGCGTCCCCCTCCCCGCGGTCTCTGTCTGTGTCTTGGCGCCAGGCGTGTCCCCCTCTCCGCGGTCTCTGTCGGTGCCTTCGCGGCACCAGGTGGGACCTGCACCTGCAGAGCCGTCTTGCGCTCCCCAGACGAGGCGCGTGCACTGCCATCTTGAACTCCGCTTGCCCGCCTCTGGCCTTGGGCGCTGTTCTTAGCGCCCACAAGGTGTCACTGCTGCTGTTTCTCGTGTTTATTTACGCTGGACCTTGGTGGTTTCTGTTTTCTGCCACTTGGTCCTGTCTCCTGACACGCCTGGTATGTTGCAGACGGCGTGTGAGTAATTGGCGAGGTTGAATGGCGGCGTCTCCACCCACCAGGCAGGGCTGAGGGCTGGTGTCCCGCTGAGGCGAAGCTGCATCCCGCTGGCTAGACCTGTCGCCCACAGATTGGCGCGTTTCGGGCTCTCCTGGGCAGCTGCTCTCTGCTCCAGGGCACACAGCACAGTCTCGTGGCCCCACGGGTTGGGGCGGCCTGGAGGCCCCGCAGGTCTGAACGCATGCGTGTTTCTGTGGAGGGGAAGGGTCGCCGCTGGGCCTGGTCCTGGGTCTGGGGAGGGCTCAGCTGGGCCGGCGGCCATGCGGTAGCTAGTGCCCGGCAGAACCTGGACGCTGCCCGGAAGTGTGGGTGAGCACCGGACTCAGACAGGAGGTGCGGCTGCCCGAGGGGCACGGCTGTCAGTGCCCACGACCCGGCTCTGACTGGCGTGTGCCATGTGCGCCTCAGGACAGCCGGGCGGGGCTGGGTCGCCTGTGTGGGTGGCTGCAGGGCGTCAGCACAGAGGACGGGTTTGCTCTGGTCAGGATTGGGGCGCGTCTGGGCCACACTCTGTCTCTGCCCCCTTCCCTTAGGGTGTCTTGCGGTGCTGTTTATATGTTCTGTTTCTATTTACTTTGTACTTTCCCCCTAAGCGGTGTCTGCCTTAGAGTACCTGCGCTTGCCGGAGAGACAGAGAGGAAAAGGGGAAGTGAGAGATGACCCCTGGGGGATGGCCCATTGAGGGGCTGGAGCCCCGGTCCCCCGCCTGGCCATGCCGTCGTCCTCGTCTGGGACCCCCTCCCT